TTCTGCTTGAGCTGATTTTAAATCATGTAATTCCTTTGATTTCAATAGAGCACTCCAGCATTACATTATATGGGACCAGAAAGGGCCATTTGCTTTATTCAGCTGCAGCAGTCAAAATTCAGGCCTTTTTGAAGTAGTGAATATCTCTTCTGTGGTTACTAAAAAGTAACAAATGAATCCAGTGGTGCCCATTTAGACAAAAATGGGAATATAATGGGTCAGATGTACCATATGAATGCAACTTCCCCATAGAGTCAGCTGCACTGCACAGAAAGGGCAGCAATTTTAACTCCCATCCAGAGATCTATAGAAATCAGGACACCTCTCTGCCAGCACAACCCACAAAGTAGGCAGTCCAGTTCAGGAGGGCCTGCTGGCTATCTTTGAGGTCCCAGAGGAGCAGGAATTACAGGTAGCTTGTGCCACTCTGTCCCTGCTACCTGCTGCTGTAGGCTGGCTTTCTTCTGCAACCCACGGAGTCATCCAAGTGCAGTTTGTTTAGTGACATTCTCCCCTTGTGACTTCCATACTAAATACATGTTTTTCAGGAAACTGAACAGGGATTGATAGAGTGAGGCTCTATAAACTACCCCACAGACAGGGAGCAGGCTGCATGAAGAAAAAGATTAAACAAAAACAACCAAAATTTATAAACTATCATCATCCCCAGGGCTTCTCCCTTTGTCCCATGTTGATTGTCAATTTAAATGCAGGCAGCAAACTCTTCCAAGCACCACCTTTATGTAAACACAGAGGGTGTTATTTGTGCTTAAGAAATTAGTAATAGAAAGACAATGTTGTAGGCCAATATTCATAGAATTATAGGACTGGAAGGAACCTTGAGAGGTCATCACATCCAGTCTTCTGCACTCATGGTAGGACCAATTTCCACCTGAATCACCCCAGACAGATGTTTTTTATAACCTGATCTTAAAAATCTACAATGATGGAGATTCCACAGCCTTCCTAAACAATTTATTCCAATGACTAACCACTCTGACAGGAAGTTTTTCCTAAATCTCCTTTCCTGCAATTTAAGCCCATTGCTTCTTGTCCTATCATCAGAGGTTAAGGAGAATGTTTTTTCTTCCTCCTCCTTGTAACAACCTTTTAGGCACTTGAAAATTGTTATCATGTCCCCTCTCAATCTTTTCTTTCTGAACTAACCAAGCCCAGTTCTTTCAATCCTCCCTCATAGGTCTTGTTTTTTAGACTTTTAATAATTTTTGTTGCTCTCCTCTGAACTTTTTCTAATTTTTCCACATCTTTTCTGAATTGTGGCAACCAGAACTGGACACAATACTCCAGCTGAGGCCTAATCAGCTCCGAGTAGAGTAGAAGAATGACTTCTCATGTTTTGCTTACAACTAGAGATATGAAAGGTCCAGAACTGCCACTATCCCCGGTGGAACAACCTCTGTCCACAGAGAGCCTGAGTCTGCTGAGGAAAAAGGGCTACCTCGGTGATGGCTGGGCAGCCTCAGCTCAGAGCAGGACTGAGAGCTGGCAACCAGTCCCAGTGCAGAGCTAGAGGTGGGAGCTCTGTGGGCTGAGGGCTGCTTCAGAGCAGTCCCCAGCCCAGATCCTACTTTAGTGGGTTAACCAGTTAAACTTTAAGTCAACCTAAAGTTTAACTGGTTAACTGGGATTTTCCATCCCTACTTACAACACTCCTGTTAATGCATCCCAGAATCCCTAAGAGGTGTACTTTGAATATCTTTAAGCACCATCTGTTGATGCCTTATCTATTAGCTTCTATACAAATGTAAGCACCATCTGTTGATGCCTTATCTATTAGCAAGATGGGCATTCTCTTGTAATGCCCATCATGTCCAAGCACTTCTCAGATAAATTAGGTCAGTCTTTCAATGTCCCTAAAGACTTCTTAGGAGACTCTGGTCATAATCACATCTCGATAAAATGTAGTAAGCTGTATTTTAAATTTTGTATCAGCATTTTCCTTTACCTTTGAGACTGACTGTGGCACTGAAGTACTGGATATTTGTTGCTGTTTATTCTCCATTTCACAGCAATTCCCATCTACCTTTCGAAAACATTTTCGTTTTCTCAAAGTCATGCTGGACACACACAAACTCCAAGGGCTGTATAGTAGCTGGGTTCTGACAGTCTTTACTCAAAATAGTTTTTAATTGTGCATTTCACTTCTCCAATACAGCAGACAATGAACTATTTAGTAGCAACATAATTCAGTTTCTCCTGGGAGAGGGCAAATAGTTTGCTTGGATGCTTGTGGTGTCCTCTTTCTTGGAACAGTCTGTGACAGAGATGCTCCCTGTGACATAATTATTTTCTCTTTTGAAAGAATCTGTTTTGCCCCTCTTTTAAAAGAAAAAAGAGACACAGAGCTCTTCCCCAAAGAACAAAGTAAGAATTCAGAAATGAAATTGGTCTGAGATTGATAAATACTGGAAATACTATTTCCATGAACATCAGATGGGTTTATCGTGGCATGGGTTATGCTGTTATAATGAGCATCAAAGGAATTACCAGTGAATTGCCAGGTACTACAATGGGCTGCCTAAGCATACTAATGGAGTGTATTTGTGTGTGGTAATTTCAGCTATCTAAAATGTCACCTTTCAAAAGTTCTCTTGTACATCCTGGTTCACCCATTGACACGTCTCAAGAGATGTTTTTGAAAGCCCTCTAATTCAATGAGCTTTTCTGATGTGCCTTAGAGAGTCACAACACACATTTTTCAACAAAAATGAAAAATTGGTGAAAAATGAAAATGTGCACACCTTTATTTCATTGGTCAAGCAGTTCTAATCCATATTGCAGGTGATTCAGTCCCAACTCATGTTTCATTCTGGGGTTAGGGCAAGAGTGGGCAATAATTTTTGCAGGGCGCCACTTTATGAATTTTGGTACATGGTCATGGGCCGGCTCCGGACCCCCTGGAAGGGGCAAGTCCTTGAGCAGAAGTGGTGGAGCTGTGGGGGAGCTACAGAGAAAGAGGGATGGAGTGTGTGTGTGAGCAAGACTCTCTGGCTATGTCTAGATTGGCATGATTTCCGGAAATGCTTTTAACGGAAAAGTTTTCCATTAAAAGCATTTTTGGAAAAGCGCGTCTAGATTGGCAAGGACGCTTTTTCGCAAAAGCACTTTTTGCGGAAAAGCGTCTGTGGCCAATCTAGACGCGCTTTTCCGCAAAAAATGCTTTTGCGAAAAAGCGTCCGTGCCAATCTAGACGCTCTTTTCCAAAAACGCTTTTAATTTGCACAAAAGGGACTTTTGCCCGAACGGGAGCAGCATAGTATTTCCACAAAAAGCACTGATTTCTTACAGTAGGAAGTCAGTGCTTTTGCGGAAATTCAAGCAGCCAGTACGTGGCAAGTTTTTCAAGCTGGCAAGTTTTTCCGGAAAAGCGGCTGATTTTCCAGAAAAACTGGCCAGTCTAAACACAGCCTCTATGTGTGAGAGACAGACTTAGGGTACGTCTAGACTACAGGGTTTTGTCGACAGAAGTTTTGTCGACAGATACTGTCGACAAAGCTTCTGTTGACAAAGAGCGTCTAGACTACATTCAGTTCTGTCGACAAAGCAAGCTGCTTTGTCGACAAAACCCTGTAGTCTAGACACAACCCTACATGCAATAACACCTTCTGTCGACAAAAGGCGTTATGCCTCGTAAAATGAGGTTTACCAGCGTCGACAAAACTGCTGAGTTCTGTCGACATTATGTCGACAGAACTCAGCGGTAGTGTAGACGCAGGTATAGTTTTGTCGACAAAAGTCCAATTTTGTCGACAAACCTCTGTAGTCTAGACACACCCTTAGTCACACAGATTGAGTGTGTGACAATGTGTGTGTGTGGCACAGACAGCGTGGCACAGACTGTGTGTGTGTGTGACAGTGACACAGAAAGTGTGTGTTCTGGCTGCTGCTGGGTAAGTTTGAGAGAAGCCATGTACTGTCTCTTTAAGACAGGGAAAGCTTTCTTGTTCTGTTGTCTCCTCCCTCCCCACCTCTGCAGAGATGGGGTAGGAGGGGAAAGTGATTGTGTGTATGAACTCTTACAAACAGTGCACTGCCTCTTAAGACAGTAATAGAAATGTAGCCGTGTTAGTCTAGTCTAGCTGAGACAAAAACAGGACTATGTAGCACTTTTCTGTATTTGTGCAAGTTTTTTCATATGGTTGATGGATTTCCATTCCAAATGGCTAAATGTAGTGCCTTGCATGTAGAATAGTAATAGAAATGTAGCCATGTTAGTCTAGTCTAGCTGAAACAAAAAACAGGACTATGTAGCACTGAAAGGACTGAAAGTGAACAATCCATTAAAATCAACATACTATACTGACTACAGTGAGAGACTCTGCTTCACACTATCCAAGAAATTAAGAAACCACCAAGTGCTACATGGTCCTGTTTTTCGTTCCTCGTAAGACAGGCACTCCTCTGAGTCACTTACCAGACATGGTTCAGCCTGGAGCATCTCTGCTGTGTGTCTCCCTCTCCCTGACCCCTGCTCTGCAGAGATGGAGTACAGGGCAGAGGAACATCCTGACTTCTGTGCTCCCCTCTCTTCTCCATCCTCCCTTCCATCCCCTGCACAGCCTGCAGGAGGTAGAGGAGAGCTGAGGGGGTGGGGACGGGGAGAGAAAGAGAGTGAGACTGAACGAGAGACCGGAGGCTCAGGAGAGAAGACCGATGTGGAGGAGAGACCAGAAAATCCCATCTTATGACGGGATAATTGGTTTGTATCATATATATTGTAGCCCAGGGTCTGAGAGTCTGTAACACTAAAATGCTGGCTGTTCCCTCTGGGGGGGCGCTGTTGCCTGAAATGCTGGCTGTTACCTCTGGGGAGCGCTGTTGCTGAAATGCTGGCTGTTCCCTCTGGGCGGCCCATGCTGCATGGGGAGTGCGGGGCCCAAACAGCCGCTTGCTCCCCTGTGGCGGCCCGGCTGAGCGGCACAGAAGTCAGCCGAGTGCCACAGTGGGAGAGGAAGGGGGGGCAGGGCGGTGACATGATGTGCGGCGTGACAGCGGCTCCAGACCCTGCCCCCTGGCCGTGAACGTCACTGCCCCACCCCCCTTCGCCTCCCGCAGTGGCACTCGGCTGGCTTCTGCGCTGCTCAGCCGGGCTGACGTGGGGGGAGCAAGTGGCACAAGCGACC